ATAGTCACAAATTATCCACAGCACTATATGTACATGTACAATATAAATGATCTATCATTACATTATTATTATCAGTTACCTCCATTGATGTATGCGTGTGGTTCATTAGGTGCTAGGTATAAGGACTCTCCTTCAGGTAGTTTAATATAATTCAAATAAAACAAACACCAGCAGCCCACATCACCAGGATACCATGAACACACCCTCTGGAATACATCATACCATTCATCAGTTATAATAATATTAATGAACTTATTATCTGTGAGGGAGAGAGAGAGAAAAGAATGTATTCTATAGTCATATCATGAATCAAAAATAAAGAATCCCTCCATAGCCAATTTTCCTAGTACAGGGACTTTGGCCCGATTTTTGTGTAACTTTAAAAATTCTTTAAAAATTCTAAATTTGATCAAAATCAGCTCAAACTTTTTACACAAAATAAGAACATGTATATGCATAAAATGAAATTATAAAAATGGAGAATTCTCTCTTTTTCATTTTTGAAAAAAAAAATTGGCTTGAGACCCAGTACAGGGACTTTCGCCAAATATTTTTAACTTTTGTCTCCAATATTAATGAAAGGACTGTAGACCCAAAGGTTCATTTAACAACATTATAGCAACAATAAAGTGTATGTTTACCATTCTTTTTTTGTTTGAGCCTTTCTCTCAGTTTGTCTAATTCCTGTTCAATTATTGTGCTGGTCCTGATTCATCAGTTTAGTAAAAGAACTCTTCAACGAGACACCTACGGTGCATGGCCTCGCCCCTATAGCTGCTATGGTGTATGCCTGCACTTCAATAACTGTTTGATTATCAGCATGAAGAGAGTCTGCTCAACACTAGCTTCCTACAGTTGCACTTGCTCTTGAATACCTGCAGAAGTAGCAGCCTGCAGCACATACATGCAAGCAGCTCCAGCCCCTCCCATGCATGTAGATTGAAAGGTGTGGCATTCCATGAGTGGCAGCAAGAAGACCATGTGAGAAAGAAGCTTCACTTTTTCTTTACTAATCAGCAATATATGATAAACTTGCTGACAAAAAAAGTTGCTGCCTTTGTATATTTGAGATAGTATAGGTACTTTAGTACCTATAACCCAGCAAGTTGTTGCTCTAGCGCTGCACAAACGAGTGACCTCAACAATTTCAAGTAAGTATAACTCTTCATCAAGTAAGATTTAGAGAAATCTGTTCATAATTTTTGAAGGCCATGTTCTAATCTACTGAAAAATGCTACCAGCTATCTCTAAAGTGCCAACACAACGGAACTTGGCCCAACTACTCGATTTTCTTACTTTGAAGCTTCTGTACCTAGCACTTGTATTTGAGCAACACAAAACAGTTAAGAAAGACTTTTCCACGTCAAAAAGAAAGATCTAGGAGCTTAGAACACGCTGTGCTAAAGTTATTGTTTATTAAAAACAAATTTCAGTTGTACAGAATGAATGAATGAATGAATGACAGACACACACAACAACTACCTATACCTCGCGTAGGCGAGGCCAATAAATCATTTGCTGTAACTGAGGAAAGTGGAGTAGTCATCTGCTGAACAATTTCATCACCTTTAAAAAAAGAGAGAGAGAGAGAAAGAAAGCAGAATGGTAGATTTTGTGTTGGTAGTTTCTTCAAAGATCAATCAATAGCAAAATGGCTTTTGAGCAACGATGAAATCATTCAAGTTACATCTCCTTATAGTCAACATGTATATGTAAATGAAATTAAATGCTTTTCAAAATACTTATTCCATCAATAATAACAGAATTACCCACCTCTATTCTACAGTTGAAAAGTCCCACCCCACATTACAGTACACAGTTCTTACCTAGTACCAGGGATATAATAGACTACAGTCTGTAGTTCTGGTCGTTACTGACAAAGTTCCTAATTTCTTCGAAACGTCTAAACCACACAATCCCTCAAAATTATTCAAAGCGATGACAAGTTCTGGCTTATGATTAGAGTCAGGATAATACTGAGGGGAATTGGAGTGAAGATAATGGGTGTGGTCTTTAGTGGGATGGGCCTGAATTGATATATATAAACACCTTATTAATGAAAGTACCTTTTGATGGACGGTTTACTTTAAAGAGAAATTTACTTCTGCTTATGATTCTTGTTCAATGAGAGAACAAAGGATCTTTTAATTTTCATACTTGCCCCTGTGCCCCAAGCAAATTTTTGTAAAGTACAAGAGAGGACAGCATTGCCTTAGCTGGGTGTGGTAGCTTACCCACACCCACGTGAGCACACGTGTTTAGCATGGGCCACCCACGTGTAATCACGTGTTGTCACTGCTCTAAAACAAGAGTTCTACAGTATAATCAATCTATTAGCAACAGAAGTTACAGAACTATAAGAAGACAGCATGTGAGGTACACTAGTATAGTTTTAGAGATGGACATGAATGTATGTATGACAGCATTTGACTAATTAAAATGTGAACTGTAGTTAAAACTCTGCATTGTCAATACATCATTTGTTCATTGGTTGCCGCAATTCAATAAGTGTTGTCATGTCCAAATTTAATATTGTTAGAGGCTTTACTTAATCACTTGTAACTTAAAGCAAATGCTTCAAATTGTAGTAATGGAAATAGGGAGGTAATGAGTCATTCTGCCCCCATTATTTACCAATGTGTCATCACCTTATAAGTTATGCGTACGTTATGTATTTTTTGCATTATGAGCTACCAGTATGTGCATTGTTTGCAAAAAGACAATTATGCAGGAGTTTAATCAAAATTTAAATAATCCTAAATTAAAATAAATTTTCATCATCAAAAATGTTAGTAGTTTATATTTAAAACAGCAGAAACCAATAACAATTTTGATTACTTAACATGTTTTTCTATATTATCAGCTACAGCATCTTCCTTAATACCCCTAACAGCATCAATTAGTTTTCTGTATGTTGCTTTACCAGTTTTCAACCATTCTGCAATGCACTTATAAAGACAATCAGTACATTCTCTATTATCTCTTTTAATAACTTCCAACTGATTATAGGTTACTTTTAAATGTAATCCAAAATCATACCATTTGTCGTTTGGAAAATTCTTGTCCTTTAATGTTATAACTATTTCATTCCAATCATTAATGTGAAGGATTCTTGTATCTATAAGTCAAAACAGTAGCAATGTAATGAATCATAAACTTTTACTCACATGCATCCATATTTCCCTGGCTTGATTCTTCATAGTAATCCTTTTTGTTTTTTTCACCATGAATATCAAAGGAATCTTCTTTCTCCTTTCTTACATCATTAATGGTTCTATCAGAAGATTTGCCATAATCATCAAAGAAAAGAAGAGAAGAAATAGAAAGAACAGAAGTAGAAACTATTAATAATTGTGTTTTTGGTTGTGCTTCTCTGCGAATACCAATCATCATTTCCTTGAGAAAAGTAAAAGATTGCACCAGTGGAGTATTTTGAATTTCAACATATTCAAGTGAAGGATGAATGAAGATAGCTAAATAAAAATTATGTATTTTTTCTATCCACTTATCAGTTTCAAATGAATGAAAATTAATATCATACATGCATGCTATTTTAAGTTGTTTGATGGTTGCATGTGATCTTAAAATTGTAGTAACAGCAGGTAGCCCCTGATCAAAAAGCATCAAAGTTAGTTTCTCCAAACTGCACAGATGATCTAGTGTAAAGTTCACTTTTAGTTCTGTGAGATTGTTCTTTTGAGAGATGACATTAACAAAAGTTGTTATTTTTTCAATTAGTGGAATGGGTACACTCAACTGCTTTAGACTGGTGTTGTGTCTGAGACCAGTTGTTAGGAAGGACAGGAACAAACTGGGAATGTTATTAATATTGAAGTCATTATAATTAATCTCAAGGTATTTCAGTGTTTGGTTTTGTGTTAGCATGTCTTGTAGACTAGTACCCATACTGCTGGTATATACTCTCTCCTCCCATATCTCCACACTCAGAGCTTTAAGTGTAGTATTGGTTTGTAGAATAGTAAATAGTTCAATAGCACTCTCAGCTGTGTCTAGTGGTAAAGTAAGTGCATGTAGACTGGGATGAGAGTGAAACAGAAGATGTGCTGGGTATGGATCAGGTAGTATCAGACAGTGTAATCCTTTGATAGTTGAGAAAAGTGATTTCATTAGTTTACTAGGTGACCATTCTTCTCTCCCTAATCCTATCTCTAGAGCATTCAGTGGTGTGTTCACCTGTACTATATTCAATGATGATGGAAAGAGCCTATCAGGTATGTCAAGTACAAGAGCTTGTAATGTGTTGTTGTCCGTTAGTAACTGCTCTATTACTCCATCAGGCAGAGGAGGGGGAGGTAAAGTATGAAGTTCAACTATTATTGATAATGATTTAATTTTTTTGTTTCTTGTTACTCCTCTGATGACTGTAGTAATGGTATTTGTTTTAAATTCTCTCAGTCCAGAATATATAATTCTCATTTCTTGTAGTGTTGAATTCATTTTTATACATTTCTCAAGTTCAGTGCACTTGTTTGTGTAGTCTGTATTGTCAACTGTTGGTACAGTAGGACAATCCATCACTAAGTGCAGTATCTTCAATTGAGAAAGTCCAAGAAACTGCAATAATGCATGGCAGAGAAGAAATTCACCATATTGTAATTTACAGTAGCACTCCTGGATATTGCGTAAAAGTGATGGTTGTAAAAATTTGTGTAATAATTCATGATTGAATTCTTCCAAAAATACCTGCAGTGTCTTACACTGGGTTAGTCCATCAGTTATCAATAGTGATTGGAAACGTTGGCGTTGAGTTACTATTAGGTGTAAATGACTCCAAGTTATGTTAGAATTGTTTATGCAAAAACTAAGACACAACCAGTCAAACAAAGATAATTTTGATACTCGATTATACCAATCAAGACACAATGAGTGATTGTTGATGGATTTTGCTAATACTTGACATAATGTTGTGTTCTGAGATTCATACAGGAGTTGAAAAAGAAGAATGGGAACTTCGTTGCAATTGAAGTCAGAAAAAGTCATTTTGATATCATCAGATCTAGACTCAGGATTCTGATTAAAGTAGGAAAGATGAAAAGTTTCAAAAACAAACAATGGTTTTTTCTTACACTGTAAGTCATGTTGTTCTTTATTAAAATACTGTTGATAGCTGTCATGTTCTAGGTGAGTTAGACCTGCCACAAACCTCAGACACATTCGGAAGTGATCATCATCAAAGTGATCCTTAAACACTTCCTCTGTCTTCTCCTCATGCTTAGCTATCCACCATGCAGCTAGAAATTCTTGTATACTCAAGTGAAGGAATTGATAGTTCTTTTCATCATATTCTATGAATGTTGTCATCAATCCAAGATAGTCTTCCTTAACTGCCTCACTCAGTGACTGTAGTCGATGTGAAGGAAATGTCATTGTTGTATTAGCCAGGTTAGTATAAGCTAATTGACACATTTCTTGTAAAGGTTTAGCAAATTGTGATGGCAATAAAGAAAGACTACCTAAAGTATATGGGTCAATGCCATGTTTTATTTCCACATGTCTTCTGATAGTTTGTAGGATAAAGTTCTCGTACAGTTGAGTGAGTGTTGTTGGTAAGTGTCCTCCTTCCTTATAATAAACTATGATGACCATGGAACAGACTAGTGGTATATAACACAATGATTGAATATCATTTCGTACTGTGAGATTGTTAATGAGTTCCACTGCTAGTTGTGAATCCTTACTGCTTTGAGTAGTTGTGAAATGTGTGGGTACAAAATTTTTATCATTTTCTCTTTTATTATCAATAAGTTCTTGTGCTAGTTTTGGATCTTTCTGAAGTGTTCGTATAATTACTGTTGATATTTCTTTCTCAGAAAACCCAATGACCTGAACATGTCTATTACGGGTATGTAATTTTAAAAGTAGTAAAGAGGAGGCATAGCTACGAGAGGTAACAATTACTGAGCATTGAAACAACTTTCTTCCATAAATAATCCTAGCAGCTAATGAAGACTGTCTCAGTCTCTCACTTAGTTCATCCCAACCATCAAAGATTATCAGTAATCCTTTTCCCTCTCTACCTGACAACCAATCAACTACTTTTGAAACTCTATCACTCTCATACTCAAACAGGTCAGCTAGTGTAGTAGCTGTAGCTATGTTGCTATTCCTTAAAGGACAGTAAAGTACCAAGTCATACTGTTGATGTGGTAGTGTTCCATTAGACCACATATTTAACAGTTTACGACAGAGTGTTGTCTTGCCAATACCAGGAGGACCATCTATTACTACTCTGAGAGAAAGAGAGCTATCTGTGGGTTGGAGGATATCTTCAATACTTATCTCTTTGTTTTCAGTTAGTTTAACTGTTTCATCAACTTGTCCTCTTAGCAGATGCCAAGCTGATTCTGCTTGTGTGCTGGACTTTTGTTTTTCCACTAGTGCTAGTCTTCCAAAAAAATCCTTTCCAATTCTTGGAGGCCAGTCTGTAGCAACAATAGGTTGGTGTTTGTAGTGTTGTCTCATATTGTCAGCATATCCTTGAACATCATCAGGTATTAAACTAATGGATGCGACATTATCAGGTATAGACTGACCTAATGTATTGAGATATAATGACTATAATTGATCACTGGACACTGATAATGTACACACACAAACACACACAGACACACACAGACACACACTCACCTAGCTCCTTCAAAATAGAAGAAACAATATCAGTTAGTGTACGATGTTGTTGGCATACTAATACATGACATATCTTGATTAAATGCTGCTTCTGATCATGATAGACTTCCAACTGTGTTTGAATGACATTCACAAGTTTACTAGCTTTCTCCTTGTCAGTTACTCCCATTACATGCATCTCCTCTTTAGTTTGCTGAGGTATCAGGTCTTTAGCATACAGTGCATCAGTTACATTGTATAGATTCACACTAATAGCATGAACTAATTTATCAAAATAAGTCCTCAATATATCCTTCGGATTACCTGCAATAGTGTATCAGTTAATGAGTGTTGTATTAAGTGTATGTTTACCTGATGTAGTACTAGTAACAGGTTCAGAAACTGATGATGATACTACTGGTACAGTACTAGTAGGAGAATCAGTATTACCTATTATATATTTCATATAATTATTAACATAAAAATATGATTATACCTCCTGTACATTGATTTACTTGTAACTGATCATTAATAGTTTGTAATAAATTAATCTCCTGTCTTTTAGTCAATGCATTGAGTACATCTCTCCATGTTGCTGTAGGATTCTTCTTAAGCCATTTAGAAAAGAGAGCTCCTTTACTTTGTTCAGTATCAATAGCAAAGTCTTTAATTAGTGTAACATCTTGTTTTGTTATTCCAGGTAAGAGAAGACCAAATGGCTTCCAGTCAACAAGTGGTTCAAGCCATTGAAGTAACAGGAAAATATCAGGTCGATCATCAATCATAGGACCAGGATTGAGTTCAACATCTCCTGATAAGAGGAGGAGCATACGTAGACAAACAATCAAATAGAGATCATTGTAAATCAGGTTAGAACTGCTGCCTCCAGGTAAAACTACTGACTGGAGGTAATTTGTATCAGTAACAGTAACACCAGTACTTGGTAGCAGTTACCTAATAATAAAACACCAGTAAATATACAAGTGCAAAGTTGCAATTGTTGTTTACCTGTTGGAGGAATCATCAAGATGTGTCTTAATAAAGAGAGAGAGTGAAAGAGGAGGAGGAGGAAAGCAATAAGAAACAGAGCTGCTGGCAGTTTAGATGTCTTCTCTCCTGATATAGTACTGCCTGGCTTGCTGTCTACTGCAGCTTTGAATGAGTGAGAGTGGTGGCCATTAGCTGGTCTACTGGAGGCAGCTTGACAGTAGTTCCACTGTCCAATACTTGCTCTCCATTGAGAAACATCAATCATCTTGTAATTATTGTTACAATAAATACACTGAAGCAGTTCCTTTATCCAGTCACTAATGGTAAAGAGCAGAGCACAAGAGAAGTGGGTGTATGTGTCACTCTATC